GCTGGGTCCATTGGCATTTGTGTGTGGACTTTGCACGTTCTTCTCGAGTTCTTCTCGCGTGGGTTTCCTCCGGGTGCTCCATTTTCCTCCACAGTCCAAAGACATGTGCTGTAGGTGAATTGGGTAAGCTAAATTGTGCGTACATTAAAAAAAAAATATGTCTGCAAAATTGTTGAACAATTTAAACAAACAAATTAAATTTAGTAATGTTCAGCTTAATTTGTTTGTTTAAATTAAGCCCAAATAAATAGTTTACAACAACTTATCTTAAAAATATTTAGTAAATCCAAAGAATCATCATTTGAATGTTGGGCTAACAACCCACCTCATAAAAACTAGATATTACAAAACACCACATGGTCCGGCTAAATATTGTGGTAGTAAGTATTTTTTTTAATTGACCCTATTGTAATTTCTCTGAAAACTTTTAAAACATATTTTCGGGCAAACTATATGATCTTATGCATATGCATATTGCATTTTCAGTTTGCAAACAATAAAAAAGACAACACATCTCGACTGTACTTCTTCCACTCTAGACATGGGAAATGGCATGAAAATTCCAATAATAAGCATGTAAAATAACAATAAACATATACCAATTTTTAATCAAATGATAGCAAACATAAATGAAAAATAAACATCTGTATACAGTGCTCAGCATAATTGAGTACACCCCATTTTGAAAATAAATATATAGTTTATTTAAGCTACTTGCAATAAATTAATCCAGAGAGAGCTGTCACTGGGTAGGTAAACATTTTCAAAAGATACACGGTCAATAACGGTCCTTATTAATACCTCAAGGGTACATATTAATACCTAAAAACTATAAAAGTGTCCCTCTTGAAATGTTTAGATATATACCTTTGTGATGCAAATATGGACCATTTAGGTACAAATATGTGCATTTGGAAAAGGTAGAACCCCAGTGACTGCTCTTGTACCTTTATTTCTGAGAGTGTAAAATTGACGTGATAGTTGACCCATCACGTACTTTCCATTTACTTGTTGCAAACCTGTTTGAGTTTCTTTCTTCTGTTAAACACAAAATAAGATATTCTGAAGAAAGATGGAAACCTGTAGTCATTGACTTCCATTCTGTTGTTTTTCCTTTTCTGGAAGTGGAACGTGTTTTCAGCTTTCTTCAGAATATCTTCTTTTGTGTTCAACAGGGGAAAGTTACTAGTTTATAACCACTCGAAGGAGAGACAATAGTGAGTAAATTTCCATTTTTGGAAGAACTATCACTTTAGCCATCTGTATTAACTGTATTATATTAACAATTAGTCATGACTGCGTTTTGGTTCATTGTAACAAATTAAATCAGTTAATCATGTCTTTACTCCTTTTTTAGATTATGCGAGCAGTTTTATTAAGCCAGTTTAGCATAACATAAGTTCAATGGACTTATAATGTTAATTTAATTCAGTTTAAAAATTTAAGACAACCAGGATTGTTTTAGTGTAGAAATTGGAATCACACTTGAGCCCTTGCCTGCCAAAAGTAACCACAATGTTTTGGAAATCATTCTAAATTATTTTTGTTTAATAATAAAATCTTTTTGATTTAGCATTTTGAGTTGTTTTTGTTTTAAATGGAATATTTGTGCAGTAATTAATATCATTTATTTCACTTTTTTATTAATTCTTAATTTCTAGTTAGCATAGAGACTCATTCAAATCCAATTTCTGAGTGCCAGATTAGCGCCATCTACTTGTAAAGGTTTGCAATTGCATGATGTCACCAGTGAGATGCCTTTATAGTTTTCTATAGAGCAGTGGTGCCCAAACTTTCCTTTTAAGAGCTCAAAACCAAATTGATTGAGGGTGATGAGTAAGAGGTAAATATAACAAATTATATTACAATAAAATTGTCATGGTAATTTCCTATTTTATTAATATAACAAAACTATAGAAATAAAGCACTTGGATATCATTAATAATTATACATTTTTGTACATTTTATAATTAACTTCTTACAATAAAAAAACAAAAACAATCACATTTGTAATGCAACGGAGTTCAATACCGTATACACATAAAAGCTGCCGAGTGTCAGGATTTACATTTTGAAAAATTTTGATGAAGGAATTTATTCTATATTTAAATATTGAAGACTAATAGGTCTTAAAGACTATTTTGGCATTATCATTAGTTTTTCATTAATCAAATCTAAACATTTTATAGGGAAGAGAATGCAAGGAAGCGTTTTATTCAGGGCGTGGAGGGCCGTACTCCTATACAGCTTAAAGTGACATTTAAAGACTTAACTAGGCTAATTAAGTTAACTAGTAGGCAGGTTAGAGTAATTAGGCAAGTTATTGTATAACAATGATTTGTTTAGTCCAGAAAAAATATAGCTTAAAGGGGCTAAAAATTTTGTCCATAAAATTGTGTTTAAAAAATTAAAAACTGCTTTTATTCTAGCCAAAATAAACAAATAAGTCTTTCTCCAGAAGAAAAAAATATTATCAGACATACTGTAAAAAATTTCCTTGCTCTGTTAAACATAATTTGGAAAATATTTAAAAAAAGAAAAAAAATCAAAGGGGCTAATAATTCTGACTTCAACTGTATATATCTTTTTGTTAAAGAGGGCCACCTTTTCACTGCTGTATACTGGTTTCATCATTGTAGATTATACACACAAAAATACTAAGGTATTTTGTGTTTTTGTAAATTTCTCATTCATTTCCTATGGCTCATTCACCTTTTGACTGTATTCATGACTACTGTATCTATCACTACCTTGACTGCTCGAAACTTGCTATGCTTTTTTTTGTATGATTACATTGCCAATTCCAAAAAAGCTCACCAAGTTTCAGACCATCCTGATGAAGCTGTGATTTTTTTAAAATTCTAAATCGAACATTTTTTGTCAGAAGTGATCGAGGCGAAGCAGATGGTTAAGTAATGTGGGTTTAGACAGCAAAATGAGGGTCAGTGCTGTAAATGATGACTCAAATTTCATTTTTGGTTGAACTTTGCCCTTTAATGGCATGCGTTTTTGCTTTGGGTCAAGCGGTCATGGTCTGTAGTTTCCATTTCTGTGGCAGTGGCAGCTCTTATCATATGGTGATCTCATCCAGAGAGGGGATTTGGACCAAGCATGTGTAACATGAAAACAGGCAATCTCATGAAGCACACACTACGCGGGAAGGAGAGGGGGGAGAAAAAAACACTTTCACACTCTGCTGGATATTCACACCCACTCTAGCTGTGTTTTGCCACCTGTTCTTCATTGTGCACTCATGTAAGTGTGAGATTGTGGGTTTAGATGATGCAGGACTGCATCTTTGCTTTAAGGAAATGGACAGTAGTGCCATTTTTCTTCAGGTTTTTTTTTTTTTTTTTTTTTTGTCTACTACTAGTGATCAGGTTTTTTATTGACTATCTTATGTTAGAAGAGCAGAATGATGCAGATGTGTTTACCTTTAATATTGTTAGAATTTTTAACCACAGTGATGTCTAAACGTCCTCTGTTTCTTATTATTTAAATTTTTGTTGTTGTAGTTGTTGCTAATTATATTACAACAATAATACATTCTATAAAAAACTCTGTACAATTCAATATTCACAAATTCACTAAAGATGGTCATATACAATGCTCTTGTAATTGGTGCATCATAGATGGATAAATGGATGGATGTGTATATGCACAGATAATTGGACAAATGATCCTGTAACATGGATGGATGGATGGATGGATAGATGGATGGATGGAGGGATGGAGGGATAGATGGATGGATAAACAGAAAGTTAGACAAATTCAGAAATTATTGCACATATGATGTTGGATGGATGATGAATGGACAAACAGACGGATAATTAAATAGTTGGACAGGTACAGTAGATAGCAGGTTTTGATGAATGGATGGTCAGATAAACAAATAGTTGGACATGTACTGTACATAGCAGAGTTTGTTATGGATGGAGGAATTGATGGATGGACAGATAGATTGATATATAATTGAATATACAGATAGTTAGACAGATACATTCTGAAATTATACAGATGAATGGATAGACATGAAAAATTAGTTGGTTATGTAGATTTGTTTTTGGATCAATGGATAGGTGGAAGGATAGATAGAAGGATAGATAGAAGGATAGATAGATAGACAGACAGACAGACAGACAGACAGACAGATAGATAGATAGATAGATAGATAGATAGATAGATAGATAGATAGATAGATAGATAGATAGATAGATAGATAGATAGATAGATAGATAGATAGATGGATGGATGGATGGATGGATGGATGGATGGATGGATGGATGGATGGATGGATGGATGGATGGATGGATGGATGGATGGATGGATGGATGGATGGATGGATGGATGGATGGATGGATGGATGGATGGAAAGATTCAGAAATTATTGGATATATTATTTGGTGGATGGGTGGTAAATGGATGAACAGACAGGTTATCAAATAGGTACAGGTACAGTAGAGAGCAAGTATGGATGGACGGATGGACAGATACGCAAATAGTTGGACATATTTTACAAAGCACAGTTTTTTGTCGGATGGATGGACAGACAGAGAGACAGATGGATTGACATAATTGATAAACAGATAGACAGATAGATTCAGAAGTTATAAGCAAGGATGGACAGACATAAACAAATAGTTGGACATGTAGAGAATTTTTAGGTAGATGGATGGGCGGAAAGATAAATGGATGGATGGATGGATAAATGGATGGATAGATAGATAGATAGATAGATAGATAGATAGATAGATAGATAGATAGATAGATAGATAGATAGATAGATAGATAGATAGATAGATAGATAGATAGATAGATAGATAGATAGATAGATAGAAAGATAGAAACACAAATCATTTTGATGGATGGATGGGTGGAAGGATGAAAGGACAGATAACATTTCTGTATTATCAGTCTGGTTTGAATATTACCAGCCATAAGCTCATATATTCCTATCTTTTAATCTCCACCTTCATGTCTCTCTCTTTGTCTCTCTGCAGTCCAAAGTCAGAATCTCATATCGGACAACGTCTCAGTAGTGGAAGGAGAGACAGCCACCATAAGCTGTCGAGTCAAAAACAATGACGACTCCGTCATCCAGCTCCTTAACCCCAACAGACAGACCATCTACTTCAAAGACGTCAGACGTGAGTATACATTCTCATACAGTCCACACTCAAACAGTTCACCCGCCCCCAGTGAAGCGGAAGTGTTAATGCATCAGAGTAATCCGCTGTGCTTTTGAGGGCAGTCGATACAGAGACCCAGCTGGCTAGTGAGGGCATTTATTTTATTTTTTCTTCCTCAGTGATTTGCCTTGCTCTCGTGTGATCCGTTTTACCCAAGACCGCTCTGATATTTTCCTACAGCTGCACTGTGTAATTATAGCAGAGTCTTTCTAAAGGGTTTCATCTCTCCCACCCTTCGATAAAATATTGCACCCGCCGGTCCCATGTCATATGCAGAAAAGCACTTTGATGGTGGCATTTTCCTTGCACAAAAGTTGCAGTGGGAAACATTTTTAGGTAGCTCAAGCCAAGTGCTTTGGAGTTCAGTCCGAGTTCAATTCGGCACGTATCAGCTGGTGTCAATGGACATGACGCCTGTCTCTGCAATACTGTCTCCTGGAAAGGTCTGTCCTTTTTATTTCAAGGCTTTTCTCTGAAATAATGATAAGCTTCGCTGAGGTGCCAGACCGAGTCATTTTCATCTCCTTGGCCATAAACGGCAACGAACGTCCCAGTGATCGGGAGAGCCAGCCGTCAGTCGCCCGAGGGACTGTCCTCATCAAGTAACGGTTAAAGTAATTGTGTGCCCGGTCCTCTCAGAGTTTGGATTAAGGTCTTCTGAACCGTCATTTTATCTCTCAGCTTCCAATCATTAGCAAGGCTCAGACTCCAGGTTTTTTGGTCCGTGCAAGGCTGTAATTATCGCCCGTCTTCTTAATAAAACTTTGATGGGCTCTTCTCAAAGTAACCGTGGCCGGTAATCAAAATTGATTGCTGCCATTTAGGAGAAGCAGCATGTGTCCTGAAGCCGCTAGGATTAAACCTGAGAAAACAATACAAATGAGATTCGGAAGAGGAGCACAGGAGCAAAGGAAAGGAAATGAGACGGCGTGCGAGCTTGGGAAAGAGAGGGAGGACGGATAATAGAGGCAGCTCTCGGACGTTCATACACAAAGGAAGTTTTCATCAGCATCTCGGCTGTGGTTGATCAAGCCTCATTTTTCAGGTTCATGTTGTTCAATGCCTGGCTTTGGTGGATTGCAAATGAGCGAAATAGCAATGTTTATTTGTCAAATGTTATTCATTATAATTGCTGTAACATTTATGTATTTAATCAAAATATTGTATAAAGATGCAAATAATAATAATAGTTGTTTCTTATATGTATATAAAGCTTTTCTGGACACCCAAAGAGCTTTACACATTTTTCGGAGGATATCTCCTTACCCACCACAATTGTGCCAGACCGCACACCACACACCAGCTGATTGGTGGAGATGAGACAGAGTAGTGAAACCAATTATGATATAGGGATTTTTAGGAGGCAATGATGGACAGTGGCCAGTGGGCAAATTTGGCCAGGATGCCGGTGTTAAAACCCTACTCTTTTTTCGAAGGCCATCCTGGGATTTTTAACGACCACAGTAAGTTGGGACCTCGGTTTAACGTCTCATCTGAATGATGGCGCTCACTGAGTAGTATAGAGTCCCTATCAATAACTTGGGGTGTTAGGATCTACACAGACCACAGGTTCAACGCCTCCTGCTGGTTTCACCAATGTGTTTATACTCCGTTATACATTTTATTCACAAAGGTTTACTATATGTTTTTCATGTTTACTTTTTGCATAGTAATAATAAGACCTTTGAAATGATAATAATGATCATAATAATAAAAGTATTTTTATTATTTATCACCTTTAAACGTGGGCAGCACGGTGGTGCAGTGGGTAGCACAATCGCCTCACAGCAAGAAGGTCGCTGGTTCGAGCCCTGGCTGGGTCAGTTGACATTTCTGTGTGGAGTTTGCATGTTCTCCTCGTGGTTGTGTGGGTTTCCTCCGAGTGCTCCGGTTTCCCCCACAGTTCAAAGACATGCGGTATAGGTCAATTGAGGAAGCTAAATTAGCTGTAGTGTGCAGTATGTTATTGTGTGCAAGAGTGTGTGGGTGTTTTCCAGTATTGGTTTGTGGCTGGAAGGGGCTAAGCCGAAAAGAAAATTAATAAATCAACCTTCAAACATAATTCTTAAAGCACTTTACATTTAGAAGATGCACGGATAAAAGAAGTTCAACCTGTCAAAACATTAACTCTCATTCTCATTCTCATTCATTTTTCTTTGGCTTAGTCCCTTATTTTTCAGGGGTCGTCACAGTGAAATGAACTGCCAATTATTCCAGCATATGTGAAAAGTGCTAACCAGTGTGCCACCGTGCCAACTTAGTCAATATATTTTAAATACAGTGGTCCCTCGTTATTTGTGGGATTTACGTTCTACAAATAACCATCAATAGGCTAAATCTGTGAAGTATTCAGCTTTATTTTTTACAATAATTATAGATTTAGACTTCTAGATAAGACTGTAAAACCCTCACTACACACTTTATACACTTTTCTCAGACAGGCATTAACATTTTCACACTTTTCTCTCTCTTTTAAATACTCTCAAAGTTCAAACCTTGTAGAAAAGTAAGTTCAATGTTATAGAATAAAACTAAAGATCAAAACTATTTAATCTTCATTTATTTATTACATAATGGCGATCTACAGCCACGTAACGTCTACTTTCCTTTAGCATGTCCAGAAGTTCAACTTTTGTGCGATGGTTAGCATCTTCCTCTGCCTATTGGCTGCTACTGCAGGTGCCTTTGACAGTGCATATTGTTTCGTTGACATTGTGGGGAGAAAACTTGATAACATACAGTACAGCATATAGAGCCACACTGCTAGCGATCGAAGATTTATGTAAGTTTGGCAAGCTGAACGCATTCTTTTCTGTACAGGAGACACTGCACGGAGGAGATTGATTGACAATGCTCTACTGCCAATAAGGCCACAGAACACAATGTGCTATTTAAGATGCAAAACACAATGCATCGTAGAAAAAAAAGCTTGTCAAATTGCACGAAAACAATCTGGGAAAATGCGAGACCACGAAAAGTCAACTCAGTTTTAGCGAGGGACCGCTGTACTAAAACAAACTAAAAATGCAAACCTCATAGATAGATGAGTCGTAAAAAGTGTGTTTTTGTGGGTAATGTAAACACTTTTCAAGATTCTGTGTGTCTTTTTTGTAGGAGATGAATGATTGAAAGGAATGTAAACAATTAAACACGTTTTTGACCTTTGACATTTTTATCCTCTAATTACTCTAAATATTTACACTCAATAGTTTTTTTTTCTTGTATATAAACTATCATTAAATAATTAAATCATTAAATAATATTCAGCAAGCTGTTAAACCTTATTTAGTTGTGCATTTTTGCATCTGTTTTTTCAATTTGAAAAAAACTTGAAACAAAACATATCTGGGTTTGACCCATATTAGACATTCAAAAGTCCTTAATAGCAAAATCTATAGCAAAAAATAAAAACTGAGGCAGAGTTTATACATCCCTACAGTTTTTTAGCTACATTGTGAAGAAAGCATGGTGTGGCACACTGTAATATATACTATATTTTATTACAGCCATAGAACCCTTTAAAAAGTGGACTTTTGAATTTGGACTAAATTTAGACATTTTATATTACTAAGATGGTAGCAAAGTTGGAAAGGCTCTTTTGAGCTCCTGGCTTTTCAGTAAGTGAAGGAAATGTGAAGATAAAAAGGAAGCTGTGAGGATCTTTGGCAGTCTTCAGCGCTGGTTCAGCAGGAGGCGTTAACTGCTGTGGAGTTTCTAAAGCACCTCCTACTCCTTACACACCTCTTACACCCCCCACCTAGTGCGAGCAGAAAGCAACATTTATTTATTACAGTTATTCAGTAAAGGCCGTTTCACATGACTCAACGTTAGCATCATGTACTGCTTTGACCTCCATGACAAAGACATTCAAGCAAGTGTCATGGAATAAAGTTGATCCAGGTTGATTTATGAGGTTCTTTTTTTATTCTAAAACATCATTAAAATAAGACTTGCGTGCAAAGTTGAAGCTGTTATTACTAAGAATGACGCTTTATGTGTCACACAGATTGTCTGGTGATCGCTGGCTGCTTTTTAAAAGGTCAGTGTCAAATGAGGTCAAAGGTTCAGTAGTTTGAACTTTAGAAGTGGCATTACAACTATATATGATGAGAACTTCACTTCATTGAGTTTTATATCTTGGGGAAAAGGCTTTAAAGAAAAAGTTCACACACAAAAATCTGCTGTTACTATAATTTACTCTCCATTCAATATAGGGCTGCACAATATATCGTTTCAGCATCGATATTGCAATGTGCACACACGCAATAGTCACTTCACAAGATATGCAATGCTGAGTCTGAATTGTGGTTAGACATGAACCATAGAATTGTATTTAATCACTGTATTTATTCAGAATATATACAATTTATGCAAAAAAAAAAATCAAAATTTTTTGTCATGTTTCCAGTCCAAATATCTACATTTCAAAGCAAAAACGAAATCATGGCTGATAATTTTGCTTGTTTTAAGGAAAACTCTTAATTTTGACTTATTGAAAACAAAACAAAAGTTTTACTTAATCTTGAATTTTCAGATAATTGGACTAAAAACGAGACAAAGCAAAGTTGTTAAGCATTTCAAAGCATTTATTATATTGCGATTATTCAATTTCTTTACCTGAAAACTGTTATAGACTCCCCAGAAAACCTGCTGTAAAAATGTTGTGAAACTGTATTCATATCGCAATATATAGCTGAAAAAATATATCGCAATATCAGACATTTCCAATATCATGCAGCCCTAGATCAAGATGTTGGTGACTTTTTTTCTTCAATTGAACATTAAACGTTTTTTTTTTTTTTTTTGGTCCTTGGTTGCCAGTCAATATCTACCAACATTTTGAGGGTCCAAAAACAAATACAAATGCAAAAAAAAAAAGAAAATGAATACCTGTTATTCCTGATGATGCATCTTTTGTTTCACATTGACGCATACATGATGCAAACTCACTGTTTGTT